AAAGCCGGAAGTGACTAATCGTGCGTAGTATCGAGAACATAAGCCAATTTTTTGATCGAACTGATCTTCTGCTTCCTCTCTCCTTAATCTTTTATTCGAGACAGGCAAATAAGCCCAATTACATAGCTATATTAAGCGTACGGCATTTTCACATCTTCGAATTCGACACTTATACCATGAAAAAAATTTTATGAGCATCTGCTATCCGAAACGTTTTGTCACTGTTAACAGGAATAAATGACCTAGGTGCCATGTTAATAGAAACAATGACTATTGGGAATAACTCCCAAAGACCATATTTCAACGTGTATTTGTTTCTAAACGCTTGCGGGAGTCGCTCAAGTAGGGTGCAGCTTCATGATACTTGATCCTCCACAGTTCCGGATTAGTTTCGCATCATACTGTTTCCTAAAGCCACCTCGTATTCATTATTAGTACGATCTCCTCATGTTTTAGGAGTTGGTACTCCATATATGCCATCACATTAACCGGATTAATATACAAATAGGTTAGTACGCTGAAGAATGGTTAATAACTCCTCCTGTACCAGATCTCAGAGCCATGGCGTGCTTAAACAGTCTCCTAAGCAACTATTACCAAAAGTGCGGTGCATTACGCTGTGAAATTTGTTACTGAAATAGTCATGCATTAATAAAGTCGATTTTTTAGTCGAACTAATGGTCCAAAATTGTCAGCAGTGAAACTACAGATTGCTAACGAGTGACTTTAGAAAAGTTTAAAACTAATATTCAATATTGTGGTTACTGACCTCATTTTCTTTTGATCCTGTTATTATTTTTAGTTCATGTGTAAAATAGAAAGCTTATAACCGCTAGGATGCTGATTTTCCGTAACTTCAATTATGTGTATGATTTTTGATGTCACAGGAAGCTTTATTAGTCTGTGCTATGAAAGGAGCACCTTCTTTTCACTGCTCCTAAGATTCCTGCCTACGAGTGAATGACATCGCAGTATTACTTAAACGTACCTGATTGAATAATGAACACGATATTAATTTTCTACAAAAAATGAACTAGTCACTTCATATTTTTTATGGTTTCAAGAGAATGCCAATTCGCATCTGTTCGGTACAATTTCACGAATTTCGGACCACAATTTTCAAAATACTTCGAGAAGGAATGTCAATCAATGCTCAGATTCAGTGCCTTAACTTCTAGCCATCGTGACGGCTCATTTGCCATTTCTGACGCTACAAAGCAAATCTGATATCTAGAGTTTACGGCATCGTGATTCTAGGATCATTTAACTAGGCGGAGCGTCAATCAGAGACAGCGCCTTCCGCCCAGTTACAGTAATATGATTTTTCGCATGCAGTTTCTTATGCGGTGCCACTTTCGGTCATTTGGCCATCAGCTGTATGATTTTTATTCAAAAACTGCATCCAACATAGGGAAGGGACAGTGGCACAAAGGGTTAGCAGTTAACTTTGCATTTTAGAGGTAGAGATTGCAAACCCCACATACAGTGTAATTTTCAATTCTTAACCGCTAATTCTATTGAATAAAAAATTCATAAAACTGTGCAGAAAACCAGTAGCAACTTGCTGACTTGCGAACAACATGATACCAGCTTGATGTTTTGGTCTGGTCATGTCACAGTGTGCGAGACATACAGCCATGCTGTCTAATGCATGGGCCTTCCGGCTACAAGTCGCCTTGACTAAAAATCAGCAAAACGTATAAACAGCAATAAATTTTAAAAAATTACAATTTAAGCTGGTATACATTACAACAAACGTTACAACACTGCATTCTGAACATAGTGCTCACCCGGATAAAAAGCGAGTTGTCCACTTAAAGATTATAGCCTACAGCTTTTATGCTGCCAGCTAAACGTTTTACTGACCGAACTACTCAAATCTTTCGACCCATGGCACTGCAGGTAATTGCCAGATTCTATGTTCAATGACTATTGCAAATGAATTTCATTCGATGTGTTACTCTTTCTCCATCCTGCCTTTCTTTAACCTACTGTTGTCCATTCGCCAACAATAACCAGGTAATATGAGAAAATGTATGCATAATAAATACTGACTGCTTAGTTTTCAGAAAACGGTGGCACAAATCGATTCAACACAAAGTCAATAAAAAAACAAATTCCAACATAAATAAGAATCGAAAGTTCCACTGAAAAAACATCAAAATGAGAAGTAGGCAATCGTTTGCACAGAAAGATGCCTACATAAATAGACAGGTTCGGGCATCATCAGTTGATTGCCTGCCTCCATCGTTCAAACAATACAGAAGAGCTTATTTTTTCTCCATCTTCTGACGTCATCCGTCAACAACTGTATAGATCCACCATTCATTCATCCCTCAGGTTCAAACTTCAGTGTTTACGGCAAAACTATGCAATTAATCCATTCTGCGACATGAAGTCCGTCATCATTTTTTTCAAACGGTAGGTAAGGCGGTGAATAGCTATATTTTTTCAGGTTAACCATTCTATGTAGTAGCCCTTGAAAATACAACACAACTTCAAGCCAATAAAAACAGGTATTTTCCGAATTGTGGCACAGTGGTGAGGAACGTTTCCAGGAAAATATATAATGCAATAAAGCATGAAACAAGATATTGATTCGAACCGCTTCCAACGACAATTAATTCACTGCATTTTTCGATCAATTGTTCAATGCAACATATAAACTGCTTTTTTTACCGATCCGTTTCGTTTACCTCATACTATATAGCAAAGTAAATGCAATAATTTGAACAATGAACATATTTTGTTCCCATTCATGACGTGTCAAGTCTATTTCTCATAGTATCGCCTCTGCTAATCTTACTGTCATTTTATTTTATTTTTTAATTTATTTCTTTGGAACTTTATTCATGCGAAAGAACAGGATTCTTTGATGATCCTGAAGCAGCAGCCTGACAACCAGCTCTACAGTACGCTCATCTGTGGCGTTTCTGTTATTGATACTGGATTCGCATGGATAAACGTGTCGACCCCTACTTATTCGAAGATTGCCGTTTGTGGTAGATGCCCCGGAACATCGGGGTGATATCTTAACTTAATCAAGTTTATCATATCTATCCACTTTTGAATTCCATTTATAATGCGTTCCCACGATGTTCGCAACGGCCAAGATTCATTATCCACTGCTTGAAGAAAATAGGATAAAAGGATTGCAGACTGCTAAACCGCGGTTAAAAAATCAGGCAAACTGTTTTGGAAGGTTTTGTGGGGACAGGACATAACCTACCGTTCATGGCAACTCACGAACATTACAGAACAGAAGAGTTTCTATAAAATCTAATCCATTATTTCGGCCATCCGTCAACCTCTTTTTACTCTAATGCCTTGTTTTTACAATATGTGGTCATCCATTGACAGCATAAGAACTGGGCCCGAACATACAAGCACGAAAGTTGGAATACTGGCTTCAGTGCGAGTATGAAACAGATACTCAAACCACAGATAATTCTCCCAGCACTATGAACTAAACGGTGGTACAGCAGAACAAAAGGCTTGTGAATCAAGCACATAACACTATTTTATAACATACTGCATCTAAACAGAGCATGACTCAATGGTATTTGAACATTTGCAGTCATAGATGTATCTCGCATCGTTTTATACCCTACAACTACCTCATGCTCATCGGGGACGAGATTAATTAGTTAGGAGTTAGGAGGAGTTAGTTTTTTTTTTACATGCTACAGTATTAACATATAAAACAAGGGCTTCTAAATCGACATCAGTTACCTGGCGCAAAACTCCACAAAGACCAGATTTCACCACGCATTACACCGCCAAATTGCTCCTACGTTAAACTGAGGGCCATTTAGGTAAAAACGGATCAATGGTGACCAACTTAATCTGGAGCACAACATTTACATATTTTTATGTCAGCATATGAAGTACCCACTGCCGCTCTTCCCTATCCCAAGACGATAGAGTAGACAGGGATACCCGACACACTGACGGCCGCGATGACCAAAGGTCACAGTCTGCTGGAGCAACGGTCCCAACGCCGACCTCACGCATTTTTGTTAGTTGTACCTTAAACAACTTGCGTGATAAGCATGAGATTTCTTTGGCGAAGAAGATAATGAGAGATGCATCTAGCGTTGAGGGACCTCAAATACCATGGAGCTTGGTCAGCTTAAATGACCCACCAGGCAATTACAGGTACTGGATCAGTGTAACATGACGCCAAGCGCGCTTTCTGAGAAGTTGTGAGAGAATTAGCAAGGAATCTGCACCATTCTACGTTTTTCCTGAGAGCCTGGGAAGGGGCATTTTTAGTTTTCTAGAACTATAATCTGTTTCCAAAAGTTACAGGAAAACAGGAAGGTTTGCTGGTGATCACTGTTACACTAAGCGGTCGTTTAGCAGATCAAAACAAGTTTACATAATCGCCGCAAGAAAATATACACTGTCATAATAATTCACTCTACTCTGGCTTGAGACTGACTATTACTGCCGTCGCTTCTCTTTCGAAATATAAACGTTTAAAGCTGAGCCTGTTGTGAAGATCAGAACACAATACTTGGAGTGCGATTTTCAAATTTCAGAACACGTTGCCG